CCCCGCTCACCCCGCCGCCACGCTGACTCTAGACCCACCGAGGAGCGGGCCCGGAGGGCGATCCGGAGTTACTACGAGCTGTTTGCGGCCGCGGTGGGCAACGTCGAATGGTTGCGGTTCTGTCTGGATCGGGACCGCGAAGAAGTTCCGACTGACTACAAGGTAGGAACCTGGAGTGCAGGGGCGAGGACCGAGGTCCCACCCTGCAAAGAGCTCCTCACATAGTGGTCACCTGGCGAAGATCTGCGTCTAGAACATCCTGTGTAGATCGTCCAAATTCATCTTCCTGCAGTGGGAGGACCATTGGAGGGCAGGGAGGTAGGGTGAGCCAATGAGCACACACTGGGAGCTGGAAAGGGGTGTGAGTGATTCCCCGGTTTGCGGAGGGGACAGGGAAGAGAGGAAGGGTAACTCCAAGAAATTGCTATGTAGGTTAACCTGTGAACCCAGGGACCCCCATCCCATTCAGCCTCCTGCCTGGCTCTGGACCCCACAGGGCTTCACTGCCATCCATTTTGCTGCCCAACGGGGCAAGCTTGCCTGCCTGCAGATTTTGATAGAAGAGTACAACTTTCCTGTGGACCTGCCCACCAGCAATAGCCAGACCCCTCTGCACCTCGTCATCCACAAGGACAACAAGACCATGGCACTCCCCTGCATTTCCTACCTGCTTGAGAAAGGGGCAGCCCTCAACGCGTGAGTCCAGCCTGCTTCAGGAGGATGGCTTGGAGCCTGGACAGGCAGGAACTCCACTCCCAGGCAGAGGGACTATTGGGGGTGACAAGGATTGGGTCCCCCATAAAGCAGTCGTTGAGCCCATGTGGTATAGTGGGTAGGAGACTGGGCTTTGGGAGAGAACAGACCCAGTTCACAGCCTAGCTTTGCCACTTGCTAGCAAGTAGCAGGACCTTAGCAAGTCACTCAACCTCTAAGCCTCAGTCCTCTGGTTCCCAAACCTATGTGTACGTTGGAATCACCTGGGGAGCTTCAAAAATACGACTGCCTGTGTTCCGATCCAAAGATTGTGATTTAATGGGTCTGTGGTGTGGCCTGGGCTTCGGAAAGCGTAACAGAATCCCAGGTGTTTCTAGTTTGCAGTTAAGTTTGGGAACCACTGCCTCAATGCCTTCAGCTGAAACTTGGTAGGATAACAGTGCATGAGAAAGTGCATGGCACATAGGAGACTGCATTCATTCAAAATATTTACCGAGCATGCACCATGTGCTAAGCACTATGTCAGAGCTGGGAAATATAGCAGTAAACACACAGAAATGGCCCCTGCCCTCATGAAGCTGATATGCTTAGACAGTAAATTAGCAAAGAATAAATGAACAAAATCCTGACAGCATGGGAAGTGATCATGAAGGGAATAAACAGATGATGGGTAGGGGGAGGATCCATTTCAGAAGAGGCATCTATTTCAGAACAGGCAATCACCTCTAAGGAGGTGACATTTAAATTGCACCCTGGGCCGGGCACAGTGGCTCACGCCTATAATCCTAGCACTCTGGGAGGCCGAGGCGGGCGGATCGTTTGAGCTCAGGAGTTCGAGACCAGCTCTGAGCAAGAGCGAGACCCCGTCTCTACTAAAAAAATAGAAAGAAATTGGCTGGACAACTAAAAATATATAGAAAAAATTAGCTGGGCATGGTGGCTCATGCCTGTAGTCCCAGCTACTCGGGAGGCTGAAGCAGGAGGATCACTTGAGCCAGGAGTTTGAGGTTGCTATGAGCTAGGCTAACGCCTCGGCACTCTAGCCCGGGCAACAGAGTGAGACTCCGTCTCAAAAAATAAGTAAATAAGTAAATTGCAACCTGAAGACTGAGAGCCAGCCATACAAAGAGCCAGGGAAAAGGGTTGTAGGCAGAGGGAATATCACATGCAAAGGCCATGTGCTGGGAAAGAGTGGGGCAAGCAAGGCCTGAGAATGAGGGCGAGGAGGAGGCAGGGCCAGGGTCATGCAGACCTTGTGGGCCCTGGGGAGGGGCAGAGGGCTGGTTGGTGTAAGAGTGGATGAGGTCAGTGATCTCTGAACCAATCCCACTCTCCTTCTAGCAGTTCTTAACTGTCACATACCTTCTATAATCTGATTTTTATTGTTCATTTAGTCCAATCCCTCCTACAGTGGAGGAAACTGAGGTACAGAGAGGGGAAGGGACATGGCCAGGGCCACCCAGTGGGCTGGTGGTAAAGCAGGACCTGGAAACTGGTATGCCACCTGTCTGATGGGCAGATGCTCTTTGTCCTTCCTTTCTGCTCTCATCACCCCTGGCGGGGCCCTCCACAGTCAAACATGCAACGGCTCCACGCCACTGCACCTGGCAGCCCGCGATGGCCTGCTGGGCTGTGTGAAGGTCCTGGTGCAGAGTGGTGCCGATGTCCACGCCCAAGATGCCATGGGCTGCAAACCCATCGATTTCTGCAAAATAAGGAACCACCGTGCCTGTGCCCGGTGAGTGTGAGAATTGCCCACAGCCTGCCACCCCCTCCCTCTCACGCAGCCCGTTCCTGAGGGACCTCACCCCAGGCTGAACCTTTAAGCGGAGGGTCTGCGGAGCCAGATGGTTGGGAGATGAGTCTGCCAAAGAGGCCCCTGCCCAGGCTCTGGGTTGAGCATCACCCTCCTTCCTTGCCCTGGGCCCCCTGGCTCCTCAGCAAGTGGTGAGCAGGCCACCAGACACTTTTTGCTTGCATTCCAAAGGAAGTAGTTAGCCAGAGGGCCCCTGGGCAATCAGAACAGGTCATCTTGCTCATATCATCTCTGGCAGCTCCTCTCACCCCCTCCAGACCCTCAGCAGCAGCCAGTCTTCCCAGCCCAGGTAGAAGCTCTGTCACCGTGGAATGACATGCCCCCCTCCACCTTGGCACCAGGTTCTTGAAGGATGCCATGTGGAAACGGGACAAGAGTGACTTTGCTCGTGAGATGGGGAAACTGAAGAGGCTCAAGGACCAGCTGGCCCTCATGGAGCAGAACTACCTGATTGAGTATCAAGTAAGGGCGAGCCGGGCAGGGGCACCAGGCCGCAGCTGCCACCCAGGCATGTGAGCAGGAGGCAGTGACCCACGTGTTGTAGAGAGGAGTGGCTAGAAGCACTCCCGCCCAAAAAGAGCCTCCCTCTCCTCACAATGCTGACTGAAATTCCACCCTTATAAGCTTTAGGTCAAAATCTTGTCCTGTACTAGAAAGCAAAGAGAGCTTCAATTTGCAAGTATTATGAGCCCCTCCTAGTGCACTGCCTCCTTCAGGATGAGAATCTCTAATGAGACCAAGGCCCTGCCTTATAATTGGGATTCAAACTCCTTCCTTCCAACAGTGAGTACTCACTCTGTGCTAGGCACCTGCTAGGCCCCAAGGCTCAGAATATGTGGTTCCCACACTCAAGGGGCTTAGTCTAGTAGAGGAGGCAGGTTGTATTCCCATCAAGGAGAAGAGGGCCCAGGAGGGTGCCAGAAGGGATGATGCTTAAGAGGAGTCTTTAAAGATGGGCAGCAAGGGGCTGAGCATGGCGACACATGCCTATAATCCCAGCACTTTGGAAGGCCAAGGTGGGAGGATCACTTGGGGCCAGGAGTTCAAGACTACCCTGGGGGCCGGGCGCGGTGGCTCACGCCTGTAATCCTAGCTCTCTGGGAGGCTGAGGCGGGCGGATTGTTTGAGCTCAGGAGTTCGAAACCAGCCTGAGCAAGAGCGAGACCCCGTCTCTATAGAAAGAAATTAATTGGACAACTAAAAATATATAGAAAAAATTAGCCGGGCATGGTGGCGCATGCCTGTAGTCCCAGCTACTCGGGAGGCTGAGGCAGGAGGATCACTTGAGCCCAGGAGTTTGAGGTTGCTGTGAGCTAAGCTGAGGCCACGGCACTCTAGCCAGGGCAACACAGTGAGACTCTGTCTCAAAAAAAAAAAAAAAGACTAGCCTGGGCAATATGGCAAGACCCCATCTCTACAAAAAATAAAAACGATGGGCAGCAGTTGGCCAAATGAAAAAGTAGGAAAGGGCTGACCAGGAATTGCTGTGTGGAAAGGCACAGAGGCACATGGGCACATGGTGTATGCAGAGAACTGCAAATTCAGCATAGCTGGGGATCACATGTGAGTCAGAGGTTGACAAGCTAGAGATTTGTCAGGGGACCAGATCAATGAAGGACCTTGGTTGGGGAAGAAAGGGGATTTTAAGCAGGTGTAATTACACAGGATGCAAAAATCAGAAAACCCAGAAAGAAGATGCTGGGAATCCTAAGTGGACCCTGAAGTAGGGAGGGCTTCTGTGCTGGCGAATCCAGTACACCAGCTGTTTCAGCTGCATTTCTCTCCAGTTTTCTCAGCCCTACCCTCCTCTGTCGTTGGTGTCACCAGCCCTCACAGTCACACACCTGTCCAGAAGAGGCAAAACCCATCCGTTTCCCGTGGCTGTAACCTTTTCCAAAAGCACCTTGCAGATCTCCCCTCATCTCTTATGGCCTCAATCAGCCATATGCTGATTGACTTAGGTCTGGGGCAAGGCCGATGGAATTACAATGATTGGCTTAGCCTAATCAGAGCCTACCCCTGCAGCTGGGTCAATCTCCAAAGCACCTGATTGCTTAGCAAGTTTGAGAGTGAGACACTGAAACAATGGGGGCAGGGGGAGATTCTGTGACAACGTAGGGAAGGTTCAACTCCAGTGGAGGCAAGGACAGAGCTAGAGCCAGTTGTTGCCACCCAGCCTGGGGAGCCAGCCAACCATATCCTCCCCTACATGATTTCTCAAGTCCTACCACTTCTAAGAAGTCTGCTCAGATTAGCTCCTCCCAATTCCAGGCCTTCCAGACCTTTCTGCTCTTTCCTTTCACAGTCAAGGATACAATTTGCATTTCTCATTTGCCATTTTTTCGTTTGAGACAGGGTCTCGCTCTGTTACCCAGGCTGGAGTGCACTGGCGTCATCATAGCTCACTGCAGCCTCAAACCCCTGGGCTCAAGTGTTCCTCCTGCTTCGGTATCTGAGTAGCCAGGACTACAGGCACACGCCACCATGCCTGGCTAATTTTTTTCATTCTTTTTTTTTTTTGTAGAAACAGAGGTCTTGCTATGTTGCCCAGGCTGGTCTCAAATACCTGGCCTTAAGTGATCCTCCTGCCTCAGCCTCCTAAAGTGCTGGGATCACAGGCATGAGCCACCACGCCTGGCCCTCATTTGCCTTTTCCCCATTAAACCAGAGACTCTTTTATGGCAGGACATGTCTTCACTATCAGATTGGGGATTCCTTTGGAGGGAGGGAGCTTGTATCCTGTTAAGACCTGAGGTTTTCCCTGGGGTGAGGACTGTCCCACTTCTCAAGCTGGAGATTCACCTAGGGCAGAGGCTGTATCTCCCCCATTAGAGTGGAGGTCTCTCCATGGGAGAGGCATTGTCTCCTCCATCAACCCAGGGGCTCCCTTATGGCAAAAGTTCTCTCCTCCAATCACAAGGTTCCCATAAGGCAGGTATTTTTCTCATCAAACTCAAGGTTTTCTTGGGGCAAGGACAGTCTCTCCCCAGTCAGACCTGAGGTTTCCAAGGGTTATAACCCCAGAGTCTCCTTCCACAGAGGCAGAGGGGGAGCAGCCCTCCACGACTGTCTTGTGCCCTCTGTTGTTGCAGAAAAAGCACAAAATTCTGAGAGAAGCTGATTTCAAGAAGTGGCTCCATTGCAAGCTGCTGTACCAAGGTCACTCTCTGGTCCCCAACACCAAGCAAGCCCAGGCCATCACCCTCTCCAAGACCTCAGGGAACCAGGGATCTCGGTGTTCTAAGAGTTTCCACCCCTCCGTGGAGGCACGCCTGCAATGCATACCACTGCCCACGGAGACGCCCAAGCCCACCTACACGCAGCCCAGGGTCAGGCGGCCCATGATGTGGAATGTCAGCAACAACCCCGCCAGACACCCCAGCACCCACATCAGCTTCCCGCAGGGCATCCGCTTGGGGGTGCATCCAGACCCCAGCCTGGAGCATGACTTCAGCAGCTTCCTGGAGGTGACACCAGACGGGCACGGTGGCGCGCGGCTGCACACGGTGGACGGCCACTGGGTGGCGCCCGTGCCGCAGCTGCCTTTCGAGGTGGTGCTCCGTACACTGTACCCACGTGCACGGCCGTACAGGATGAAGGTGCCCCAGGGCTTTCACTCCATCGGCATGGGGGAAGTGCCCCGGAAGCGGTACTTCGGTGATGACACCTTCTGGACAGACACTCTGGCCATGAACCTGCGTCAGACATTTGACGAAGCCTTCCTGGCAGCCGTGCGAGCTCATCAAAGGCTCCCTGCCTTGCCCTCCCCTAAAACCAACCCATAAAGTTATTTTGGTAGCCTCTCCTCCTGAGGCAGCCCAGTGAAGGCTGAGGTGTGGTGATTCACGTTGCGGGTGAGGAGGAAGGGGAAGGAGGGCCCATGGGCTTCCCATAGCCAAGCTCAAGGATAGGAGTCCCCTGCTTACCAGCCCCCTACTCAAAGCCCAGGCCTCCTGTCTCTCTGCAAAGAAATCTCTTGAGCACCCCCAGGAAATCCAAGTTAGGTTCAGAGTAGGGGTCAGTCACTATTCTGGGCCCTAGCATTGTAAAAGTGACACTTTGGCATCCCCACTGCCCTCCCAGCCAGCCCACCAGGGACAAGGCTTCCAGGAACCACTGGGAAAATCAGTCCCTTGTTCACATTAAGTCCTTCCTGCCGCACACTCTGAGCCTCACTCTTCATTTCCAGATCCAGAATGGGGCGGAGGACAGCTAATGTGTCACCCTGGTATGAGCTTCCCTGCTACCATAGGCTGCCATCCCTTATTCCCAGCTGCCACTAAGGTTTCTACAGCGTATGGAGGCATGGGCAGCATATCTGGGGAGAGGGAGGCTCTGCGGCTTCAATTGGAGACTGTGAAAGCACTTGTACTTCTGCAGTCCATGAAGGGTTGATGGGGACTGGGCTGCAGAGAGAGGGGTGACCAGGCTGGCGGTGGTGACCCTGGCTGTTGATTTCCCTGCTTGTCCCCTCCCCAGCCTTTGCACACATCACTACAATTCATTCATTAAACAAACATTTATTGAGTGCCTTCTAGGTCCCAGGCACCATGCCTGGCACTGTTAATACAAAAATTCAAGGACAGTGCTTGCCCTCAAGGAGCTTACAGTCTAGTGGAGGGACAGACCACAGAGCAGGCAAGTAAGCCCAGAGTGATCTGTGTGGTGTGCTGGGTGGGGTTAGGGGAGGAGAGAGGATACTCAAAGCTCCTTAGAAGAAGTAAAATCCAAGTTGAGACTTGACAGAAAAAGTAGCAAAGTGAGCAGAAGAAAGGAGAATCCAAGTGGCAGGAGAGAGCCATGGCATCTCTGAATACAGGAGGCTGGGGACCCAGAGTGCAAGAAGGCAAATGATGAGACCAGAGAGGCAAGCAGGAACCAGGACACCATGAGTCTCACAAGCCATGCTAAGGGGTCTGGACTTTATCCTGAGGGAAGTAGGGAGCCATGGAAGGTTTTAGACCAGGGAGTGACTTGATCAACTGCGCATTTTAGAAAGACAACCCCAGCTGTGGGATAGAGGAGGAGGCTGTTACAATAATCCAAGTGAAAGCTCTTGACAGTGGGAGTGGCTCAAATTGCGAGATGTTAAGAAGATAAACTTGACAGTTTTTATAGACTGAATGAGGGGGACAAAAAGAGAAAGTAGGACTAGAAAGCAGGTTTCCTGTCTGGCTCCTGGGTGATCTTAGGGCCAAGGCAGGTATCCAAAAGGGGCAGGTTTGCAGAGGACAGCAACAAGTGCCATCTGGGCCGTGAACGCGCGTTATCTGTGCACGCAGAAGGAAGCAAACTGTGGTTCAGATAAGTAGGAGGGATGTTGGGGCTGGAAGTCAACTCTCGATTCCTTGGCAGAGTCCTTGAACCCACTGGCATGGATGGGCTTCCCCACGGAGCCCACAGCAGAACCCTGAGACATCCCATTGTGTTTGGGGCGAGTGGAGAAGCCTGTACAGGAGGCTGAAAGGAACAGCCAGAGAGGTAGGACAACCAGCCACAGAAGTGCCAGGGAAGTGCAATTCAAGAAGCAGGAGGTGACCAGCTGTGTCAGATGCTGCCCAGATCCAGTAAGATATGGAAACAGTCTGCTGGATTTAGTACAAGAAGGCCACTGGCAACCCCTGGGGGAGCACTGGCAGTAGAATGAATGGAGGCGGTGAAGCCACATCATCAGGCTGAGGAACAAAGCAGTGGACAGCAAGGGAGAGTACAGCCAGCTGTCAGCCTATCCAGAGGATGACACTGGCCTCCGGTGTCCTCTGCCTTGCCTGTCCTGTCTGCATAGGAGAAAAGCGCCTTACAACCTCATTTGCCTCGAGAGAAGACCAACACGTGCTACTCATCCCAGGGAAAGGGGAAAGCTGGTATTCTTCAGAGAACAGAAGTGCTAAAGCCAAAGAAATAAAGGGCTCTGATGGGACTTCAGGCATGATGGAAAGGAAAGATTTTCAAGCACAGGCGTCTTCCCAGTGGCTTAAAGGTACCACATGTGTGCAGTCCATCTCTGCACCTGCCAGCCTCACTTTGAGGTATAGAACATGGCCAGTGAGGCTCTCATGGGGATTGCATTCCAATGTACTGTTGAACACTTGCAAGGCACTGTAGTTGGAGTGCAAGGTCAACAAATGGTCTGTGCCCGAGACCTGGCCTGCCTTCTTGGAAGGCAGAGATCATCTCCCCAGGAGCCAAGAGTGCACAGAAGAGAAGGCTAGACCTTGCTCTTAGACTGACAAATGCCTTCTCCCACCAGCCCCATTTCTTAAAAAACAGGCTGTACCCCAGGCTGCCTGGAAGCCAATTTTTATTTCATTTCTCCTTGAGCTCGAGATAGTATTCAGTCAGAAACCATGCCTTTTCCCCAGAGGAGGATTTATAAATAGGATATTGTAGATGTTCTGAAAATCTAACCCGGTCCTAAACTGTTCCCTCTCCTACCCCCAGCCTGACAGGGAGCCTCGGGGAAAGAAGAGATGGAAGAACTGGCTGCTGCATGACCTACGAAAGGCTGCCTCTAGCCCACTCCCCACTCCCTGACCACACTCAGCACCTCACCTCTGCCCCCTTCCCACTAAGGGACACAAGAACAGTCCCTTTGAAAGGGCAAGACCCAAATCAAGAAAGGGAGTCCCTGGAACAGAAAAACTAGTCCAGTCCAGGGCAGAAGGTTAGCAGGAAGAAAGGAAGATGAACTGTCAGGGCATTAAGGCAAACAGTGCCGCCTAGAATCTTTATTCAAATGGGAATCAGCACTTGGACAGAAATCACAGTTCAACAGCAAAAACTATTTCTCTTGGACATGCCAAGCCATGGCCCCTTCCCACAGCGACCTGCCCAGAGAACTTGTCACCCTCTGCTCTCCAGCTTCACAGACCCTGCCCTGCCTCCCTAGCTGGGCCACAACCTCCCAACCCACCTCGGAAGGGGGAGGGGAGGGCCCTCGGCTTCCTGGCTGAGCAGGCTCTGCCACCCTCCCTGGTGCCCTCTGAGGTTACTGCCTCTAGCAGCATCAGATCTGAGCCAAAGTGAGCCCCCCGAGGGGGTGGGGATGGGGCTTCAGAGTTGAGGGGAGGAAAGCCAGGTCTGGTGGAAGGTGCCTTCCCAGGTCTCAGCCCCCACCTAGCACAGAGGCTCTCCTGATTCTGCCCCTATATCCCCTCCCCAAGGAGGTCAGTATATCTTCTGACGACTGGGTAGAATGGCCTCTTTGATGAAGGAGAAGACAACCAGGATCCCTAAGCGTTTGCCCCGCTTGCCTTTCGTGAAGTAATTGGAGACGACGTCATCTGTGGAGACACAGGCAAGATGAGTGTAAATTGAGTGTGTGTGTGTGTGTGTGTGTGTGTGTGTGAATGAGAACACAGCTCTCCCACCCCAGAGCTCCAGTGTCTCCATTACAGAGCTGGGCTCCAGTCCTCCCAGCCAACCCCAGCCAACTAGGACTTGCTGGCGACTCCCTACCCTGGCCCCTTACAGGCCCCTTCTCACCTCCTGGCTGCATGGTGGAGGGCAGGATGTTCTCCCCAGCCGAAAGTGACACAAAGAATGCAAATGGGATTATCCACAGGCAGAAAGTGAAATAGGCCAGGACCTGGCAACAAGAGAGACTGAGAAGAGGGTGCCCCTGGAGGTGCCAAGAGTGGGCTGAACATGGTCACTGTGTGTTGTGGAGAAGTGGCCAACAGTGCACAGAAGGTACCACACCTGATCTCTGAGGGGACCATGGCCTGGGAGGCAGGGACAGGACATCCTCAGACATGGAGATACATCAGTGGGGAAAGGTGGAGGCTGAAGATGACTGAATGTGGCCACTATCCCCAAACCTTGGTCACTAGGACAAGCAACTCCTCTGGACTGAAGGAGGCAGATGAGGACTAGGCCATGACTGACCCACACTCCTCAAGGTGACTTTGTTCTTCCCAGGGGTTCAAACTGAAAGAGCAGGGTGTGGAGAAATCCCAGGAGGAGAATATCTTGGCAGGCCACTGGGAAAAGCTGGGGCTCGGGTGCAGCCCACCCCTGTTCTGGGAGGTCTGCGTCAGACAACTCCAGTGCCCCTTCCTGACCTCAGGATGACCCCCTCAGGGGGACCCAAAAGACTCACTGGGGGAAAACAGTGTCCTCCCCACCTCAGCCAATGGGATCCCTTCTGTTCCTCATACACACTGCTTTCTAAAATCATCTATATGATGTTTTGCTTTTTTCAAACATGTAATCCCTGAAGAGACTCAATTTCAAATCATAGCTAAGTTCACAAAGCAAATCAGGCAGGTCCCCTCTACTCCCCCGTCCCTGATAATAGCTGAATATGCTAGACACTTCTTACCTCTGAGAAAGGGTAATATTCCTCCGCAAAAAACTGAAATGCTAGGTAATGATTCACCACCACTAGTCCTGTAGAGGCAATGAAGAGTCAGTCAGTCTGGGGGGAAAATATAAAGCTGGACTTTTAATCTTTAAAAGGCCCCTGGGAATTGGGAGCCCCAAGTTTTATTCCTGACTTTACACCCAAATCAGAGTATGGCTTTGGGCCAAGCACACTACTATCTAGAACTCACTTTGCCATCTGTTGAAATGGAAGAATTAGCCCCAGTGTGCCCATTGTAGAGGGCACTATCAGTAAAATTAGAGGTAGGTAATAAAGCTCTTTACATGCTATAAAAATTAGACTTCCATGTTACATAATCCAAAGCATCGTGACAATGAACCTGGTTTTCAGTGGCTGTGAGTCCTAAAGAAAGCCTCCCCTAGGCAGTGGGTGGAGAGAAGCCACGGGTGTGCAGATCAGACAGCCTGAGAGATTCCACTCCAAACCAGGCAGCAGGGAGAAGGCCTCCTCGAATAAAAAGGCTCTCATTCCTCAGAAATAAAAGGGCAGTTTGCTAGATGCTTTGAGGTGGTCTTAGGTTCCTCGAAATTCTGGGGGAGGGGGATCTTCCCCATTCTGCCCCAGGTTAAGGTACAGTGGTCTGAACTGATATGTTCTAGACCCACACATGTCCCCCTGGTGTACAACCAAGTTTATGAAAAGTGGGAGCAGGTCCTAGGGGCAGGCTGCCCAGAGACCGGCATCTCTGCCTGTTCCCACAGTGAAATGAAGGGCGGGCATCAGAAAGAATGTGTCCCTGACACTGGACACCCCTCACACACACCTCACAGAAACTATACCACGTCTCTTTTCTCCTCTCTTGCCTCTCCCCCTCTAAGGCAAAGACCACAGCTCTGCTATGCCTAGCCACACTCTAGGCTAAGGGATGCCGGAAGATAGGATGGTGCCTGGTGCCCACAAGATCGTTGGGAAAAACTCTCTCAGGCTTCTAAAGGGCAGCTCACAGGAGTGACAAAAGGAAGCCAAGGGAGTCTGCTGGTGTGTGGAGATAAGGGGGGTCCTCCCTGGGAAGACACAGAGGGGCCTAGTCTCCAGGGAAGGGCTCCCCAAACCCCTGCTGAACAAATTCTTTCGTAAAATCACATGAAGGCAATCAGGGAAGAGACCAGTTTTAGCTTTAATAATATACCCTCCTTGTAGATAATATTTGCTTTCCAAGTTCTCCCATAATAGAAAAGTAACTCTAAAAAAACCCCAACTCTATCTGATATCCCAACCAAAAGCTAGGATGACCAGTAGTAATTAACAGGAGAAATGGCAATCCTGGTAACCAAATACTTTCCAAACCTTTTGCATGAAGATCTGTAAATACCTATAAACACCTACTGTGTGCTGAGTCTCCCAATAGTTGTGTCAGAAACATCGTCTCTGAACAGATGGAGAAGCTAAGGCCAGAGAGGGCAAATGATTCCTTAGGGTCAGAAAGTGGTAGCAGGGCAAGGCAAGAAGGCCAGCGCCCTCCACACACAGGCCTCACCCCCGAGGCAGCAGCTGCAATGAGGAAGAACGAGACCAGCAAAGGCAGCTCCACGAGGCATTCACATCAGGCCGGGGTCTGCAGGGGCTCGCAGCCCCATGAGGCTCCAGTCTTACCATGACTTTGGGTCAGATAACTGCATGGGGAGCTGCCTGCCGGCCAGCCAAGGAAGGGCTTGGGGCTTTTTCTGGCCAGTGGTTTGTTTAAGGCTGGAACTACTCAGCTGGAGGCCCTGCCTCAGCCAAACCACAACCTTGTCTCCCTTCCCAAACCCTTCTCCAGACTTACCTCTCTGGGAGAGCCCTCTGTCTGAGCCCCCATCACCAAAAAATTCTAGTCACCAGAGCCAAGGTGGGCTCTACCGAACTCACAAGTGAGAACCCCATCTTCCCAATCAGCCTGGCCTCCTGGAGGACCCCTGGCTTGCCTCCTTTCTGTGTATGTCCTGTGTGTCAGGGACTGGGATGGGCACATCCAGCCACATGAGCTGCCTCCCAGATTCTGTCCCCTCTCACCGCATGACAAGATGAAGTTAGGCGAGGTCAGCATGATGAAGGGGAAGGTCTGGAGGAGGCCAAAATAGACGAGGTTGGTGAAGAGGCCCACGCCAATCATGCTGGTGGGGAAGCGCTCGAAGACGTAGAGGCCAATCAGCACAGCCGTGGAGAACTGAAACGACCAGAGGCACACAGTGCAGGAGCTTCTTCCAGGCAAGCTTCCTGGGCTCACTAACCTCCACTCACCCCAGGCAGTACCAGGTTCATGCTTCAGTCACAGATCTGGCCTCCCCAACTAGACTCTCAGCTCCCAAAAGGCAGCATCTTTTAATGTCATTTCTCAAACTCTTTTGATGGCAACCCACATTAAGAAAAACATTTTACACTGTGACCCCAAAACACACACACACACACACACACACACACACACACGCATATGACCAGAGTGCAAGTTTCTAGTCTTTTCTATTCCATTTTTTAAAAAATGCTGATTATAACCTACTGAATTAATTATATTACCCAATAATAAATCATGCCTACAGTTTGAAAAACACTGTTCTAAAAGACTTAATAGTTTTCAGTGCTTAACAAATGACACTTGGCTGAATGACAGTCTAATTCCAATGCCAACACCCACAAGCTGGGCCTCTGATTCCAGAGCTAAGGGCCATGGTCTTGTCTTCACCACTAACTCCCAAGCTCAGGCCATGCCCAGAGTAGAATTGGCTGCTAACACCAGGTAACGAGGGGAAGTGGACTCTTCCTGTCCAAATGTGCCCCCACCCCTACCTCTTCCTGTAGCTGGAGGAAATTTGTCTACTACTCCTTGGCTTTGACATCAGTGGGAAGGACTGTGTCTTCAGGAAGAGAAGCTTCCCATGAGACCGGGCAGTGGGCAGGGCCAGGGTCACAGAAGGTGCTCCCCTCTTAGGACAAATCACTTGATCCGATTAGAAAGAGGGCAATGAACAAATACTCAACTGTCCTAGGGTTCTTCTAAGTTCTAAATGCTGTGAGCAGAGCAAGGGGGAGAAAGCCAAGCAAAGGCAAAGCCATGGTCCTGTCAACAGAAAATGTGCACTTGGCTGTCACCTTAAAGAACGGAAAACAAGGTCTGCAGTGAAGCAATGCTACTCGGGGAAGGAGGCCAGGGAAGATGTGGACCCAGAAGAACAGACCCAAAAGACAGGGTTCAGGGCAAGGAGGTAGGAGTGCTACCCTCAGGAAACGGCAGAGAGAGAGGTCTCATCATGCATGCCAAACTTTCCCCACTTCCTGCTTTTGAGGCAGGGCAAAGGAGTGAGGGGGAATCCTGGAGAAAGCTGCCACTTACCCAGATCATGTATTTTATGATCCTGCTGGTGGCCACTGTGTATTCTTCTATCAGTTCTGCCAGGTAATAGAGTCCAGCCGCTGGGGGATGGGGAGAGGAGCAAGCAGGGAAATCATCAGCCAGGGTCATCCCCCGCCATCCCTGTCACCCCTCTCTCTGCAGCCCAGTCCCCATCAACCCTTCATGGACTGCAGAAGATCAGGAACAAACCAAACCCAGGTGTTGCCCTACCAAATTTGGAAGCGTAAACTTAGGGCAACTAAGGATAAAATTCATAAAAATTTATGGAAAAAATTTCCATAAAATTCAGTGGAAGCCTGCACTTGACGCCTCAGCACAATGCTAACCTCTAGCCCAGAAAAGTGGAATTTCCTTGATTCAATCAAAAATACCCGTTGGGCACTTCGTATGAGCCAGGTGCTGTGCTAAGTGCTGAGAACACAGCAGAGCAAAACAGACAAGATCCCTTCCCGGACACAGCTTGGAAGGGGAGGGAATCAGATGATCCCAGAGTGAGATATACTACTTTACGGAAAGTAGAGGGCACTGCTGGACCATCTAAATCCTAAGGAGGGCTTCCCAGAGGAAGTGAGATTTCAACCGAGATCGAGTAGGTGCAAGTCAGGAAGCGGAAGGGTCAAAGGCTGCGAGAGCAGCAAGTACTAAGGACCAAAGGTGAAAGGGCGGCGGGAGGTGTCGGGGAACAGTTCGGCGCGGTTAGCCCACGAGAGTGGGAGCGACAGCGGTTGGCGGTTCCCAGGCGCGGGCAGGGGCACTTAAGTCAGCCTTTCCCAGGCACTGCTGGGGCGCACTTTGTGACACCTGGAAGGATCCACGGTCAGGCGGGGCTGCTGGGCTCAGCAGGAGGGGCAGGACCAGGCGGGATGGGAGGGGTGCGATGAAGGCTGGGAGAGCCGGGCAGGGGCCCCCCAGTGGCTCCAGAACCCCCGCGATAGGATCCCAGGCGAGCACAGATTCCGGGGCGGGAGCCCGCGCGGACCGGGGTCACACACTCTCACCGACGGCCAGCGTGATGAAAGCCACCTGGATGAAGAGCGACAGCCAGCTCAGCACGTACATGAACCACATGGCGCTCCGACCCCGCCCGCCCCCCGGCCGCCGGGACGGGCCTGCGCGCTTGGGCTCCGGCGACACGGAGCCGCCACCGCTGCCGCCGCCGCGTCCCCGCCCCACGGACGGCCGGACGGCCGTGCGCCACCGCCGAGAGGAGCCCAGCCCGAGCGCCGCCCTGGGCCAGGCCCGCAGTAGCGCCGCCCGCCGGCGCGGAGGACGAACAGTTGCTGCCCCATGAAGCGCTACGCTCGCGGACAGCCATACTACGGCGGCCCCGCGGAGGGCCCAGTCCGCCGGGGACGATCGAGGCGCCCATACAGGGGCTCGGAGTGTAGCCTCTGGCCCCTCCCTGCGCACTCCTGCGCCAGCCTGGGCGGGGGGGGATCCAGGGCCAGAGAGAGCCTCCCCAGCCACCTCTCCAGAAGCCTCTGGCAGGTTGCCGACAGGGCTTTCTTTCTCTTGCTATTACAGGCGACAGGGACAAAATCATTGAGTTCCTAACACGTGCCAGGCACTGTGCTAAAGGCCAGGCTGTAAGTTCATGACAGAAATTTGAGCAGATGATGTAAATCATTTTATGCATAGGGAAGCTGGGGCCAAGGGCGGTTACCTTGCCCCAGGCCATACACCTAGGAAGCAAAAAGGTCAGGAGTTGGGATGCCTTTAATCGGCCATCCTCAGGCCTAATTATCCCTCTAGGCTGAGTTCTTTTGGGGTATGTTCTGCACCTGTGTATCGTCTGCATCTCGCCCCGTGCTGGGCACGCAAGACTCCCACTAGGAGCTGAATGCGTTTTTTAATACTACACCTTTGGGAGAGTTACTGAAGAAGGTACCGGGAACTGGACAGTCCTTGCCAAGAAGTCCCCCATCTAGTGGCCGAAACAGGCATGCAAAGTAAAGTATGTATATCAGGAGTCTGGTATGCTGCTTATTTGAGAATCAGGTTTTTCATGCATAAAAATAAATACATATTCCTCAAAAAATCAAACATAGACTTACCATTTGATCCAGCAATTCCACTTCTGGGTATATGTCCGAAAAAATTGAGAAAGCAGAGATATTTGTATACCAATGTTCATAGCAGCATTATTCACCATAGTCAAAAGATGGAAACAACCCAAATGTCCATCGATGGATGAAAAGATAAACCAAATGTGGTGTATACATACAATGGAATATTATTTAGTCTTAAAGAGACATGAAATTCTGACACATGTTATAACATGGATGAAACTTGAAGACATTATGCTAAGTGAAATAAGCCAAATATGAAAGGACAAATACTGTATGATTTCAGCCATATGCGGTGCCTAGAGTAGTGAAATTATAGAGATGGAAATCAGAATGGTGCTTGCCAGGAGCTGAGGGTGGGGAAATGGGGGAGTCATTGTTTAATGATGTGGTCCCCAACCCTAGGGCCATGGCCTGTTAGGAACCCGACTGTGCATGGCAGCCTAAGTACATCACAGCCTAAGCTCCGCTGCCCCCTCCTCCCCCTTCTGTGAAAAAATTGTCTTCCATGAAACTTAGGAAGTGGGTCGCACAGCAGGAGGTGAGCAGCCAGCGAGAGAAGCTTCATCCGTGTTTACAGCCGCTCCCCACCCATCACTTGCATCACCGAGTGAGATCCATCCTCCACCCCAATCTGTGGACAATTTTTCCCTGGTGCCAAAAACGTTGGGGACCGCTGGTTTAATGTGTACAGAGCTTTCAGTTTGGGGAGATGGATAGTGTTAATGGCTTCACAATACTGTGAATGTGCTTAATGCTACTGAATTGTATATTCAAAAATGGCTAAAATGGTAAGTTTTATATTAAGCATAATTAACCAAAATAAAAAAAAACATAAGACTATAAAGCAATTAGACTAAAGTGCAGTTATTAAAATATTTCTTTTAGAAAACCAAATGTGTGCCATAGTTATATTCTTCTGTATTAATATATAACATAACCAGACCTAATGAAAAATCTAATAACTCCCTACCACAATGACAAAGAAGGCATAAGTGTAAATAATATTTCAAGATATCTTCAATCATATAAAACGAGAGAGTCACAGATACTGCTAACTACTGTGAGTTTGTTGCCTGCATTCATAAGGGAAGGAAATGTTAAATTTCAGTTAGAGGTTAGTGCAAAGATAGAAACTTTTTACCTTCTAAGTTTCCAGGCTCCTTGAATTTGTCTTCCTGAATTCTGTATCTGCTGACTTCTAAGGGCCCCTGGACCCCCAGTGAAGAATTTCTAAGGGATACGTATAAGGGGCAGTGGGGCCTTCAAGGGCCTATAAGGTTTTTCATTGCAGCACTATGAGAGACTGAAAACAACCTAAATGTTCATTAATAGGAAACTGATTAAGGATATTTTCATACATCATGAAGCAGAGCCATAAAAACAAATGAGGATGCTCTTTATGTACCCATATAGGACTTCTTTTGAAAAAAGCAAAAGGATAGGGAGAAAGAGCCTATATAGGTATTTCTTTATATGCAGCCTCTCTGGAAGGATATATTAGAAAATGCTAATACTGCTTGCTTCCTAGGAAGAGAACAGATGGGGTTCAAAAGTAGGAGAGAGTGTTTCCACTGTATGTGTTTTATATGCTCAAAACATTGAACTATGTAAATACATGGAAATGTGTTATCTATTCATAAACAAAGTTTAAAATTAAAATATTCATAGTATGCTGGATCTGCTAGGATGCCTCAAATTTCCTGTCATTACCCAGTCCCTTTGAGAGAAAAGCCACTGCAGTGCCTGACTGGTAAGTTGGCTAACCTCGGGTCATGTGGCCTGGTCATCCCTGATTGGCCCAATAGAGGGGCTTTATGCTCAGATCTTTTCTACTGGGGAGTCTGTATTTGAGACACAGAGCATGAGGGAATAGAGGCACAGTAAACTCCATTGGTCTTTTCCATAAATATTCTCCCAGGAAGAGAGTAAAATATAAAAGTATCCACCACCTCTCTCCAGAACTGTGGGTAATGGAAACTTGAGGGCCCAAAAGATTGAGCGCATTCACCTTTGGCTGAGCCAGCATTGTTTTTCCAGGGCTGGGCACTTTCACTTCCCCACAGTTTTAGAGCCAAGACTGGCCCCAGGGAGACAGGGCTGAAGATCCAAATTTCCTCCAACAGCAGGAAGGGGGAAGCCACCTTTTCCTGAGAGCCATGAGAAGCCAGCCCCAGGTCTGTGCCTTGGGCCCAACAGGGCAGGGCAGGGCTCAGGAGGCTTCTTAGGACCATGCTAGGCAGGGCGGCCCAGGTTGGGCGGGTGCAAACCCAGGCCTTGCTTGAAGGAGGGATGGAGGGGAGCAGGCGGGCCCCCATGCTCAATTCAAGGGACATATTTAAAGGGTAAAAGGGTGTGTAGATTCAAAGGTGACTGACCATTTTGTTGATTTAAATATTGACAGACCTTGATAACTACACATACTCATTCCAGTGTTACACATACTCTTATAACTTACTAATATACACATTCATATGTCACCATTTAATGCCTGTGTGTGACCAATTCCCATATATCGAATGGGGGGCTTCCAGCGGAAACTAGCTATTTGAACATCATACCAATCTCTACTTCAGAAAACAATAACTGAATCACTTTTTGGCCTTTGGCTAAGACGAAATGCAGAAAACAATACCTGCTAGCATTTATAGTGTTCTTACCAGTGTGCCAGACACTGTTCTAAGTGATTTTTATGTATTAATATTAACCTATTTACTGCTCAAGTCTAGTGTAGAAGAAAGTAGTGTTATTGTCTCTATCTCCCAGATAAGAAACCGAGGCACAGAGAGGTTCAATACCTTGTCCAAAGTCACACAGCTAATATATGGAGGAGCCAGAGTGTGAATCTGGGCAATCTGCCTCCGGAACCCACGTGGTTTTCTCTGGTCTCCTCAAGTCACCTGCCTTTGCAGTCAGGGTGATTTGCCTGCCTAGTCATCACCGGCCATTTGGCCAGGGGTTGGGTCCTGCCTTATTTATCTCTCTGCAGGCTGCCTGGGATCCTCAGCTTTTCCTAGTCCCCCTCAACATTTACCCTTGCTGGAGCTAATGAATATGACCCCAGTGTTCTGCCTCTGGCTTCCTGTGGTCACCTCTGGTCCCCTGCAACTTCTTCACTAACTCACCTTCTCACTCTCACAGACTTGCACATTCACTGTGCCCAAGGCCGGAGATGGGCACTTAGTTGGATCTGTGGTCTCAGTGGCCTACACCTTGGGGTCCTGCACGTCCCTTGGGGGCTAGGAAGGTCCGGGACAAGCGGGATGAGGAGGCGGGAGCTCCAGGAGGCTGCAGAAAGCTCCCTGTGTTGGCTGCTGCCCTCTACTGGCAAGCAGAGGAGCTGGCGAGGACCAGAGCTGTGCATCGGCCCTCAAAGGCATCCGGAGAGACCACTGGAGCCTCTGCCAGGGTCAGAGGGAGGGCCAGGTGGGCAGGCCCTGAAAGCACACGCGCCCAACACCGCATCACACCCGCAACACACACACACTGCACACAGTTCCGGACCTGGGCATCTGGGCCTTTGCTGCCCCTGCCTGGCCTGGTTACAAACAATAGCTGTTATGTGAGAGACACCAAGAAGTCAGACACAGGCAGAGACAGGCCTGGAGACCCGGGGCGCTCTCTCATAATCTGCTCCTCCCCTGTCTGGTTCTGACCTCGACCTGACGCCCCTTCCCCATCTGCTCCCCAGGCCTCACAGAAGCAGTGTTGGGGCAGTCAGATTTGAGATGTGTTACTATACCCCACATCCCTAACACCACTGTGTCACCACGTGATGTCCCCTCTCTAAGGTCCTCACATGCTGGGGGGATTTTTCCTGTGATGGTCCATGTGGTCAGCAGGTTTATTGTTCGGCATCCCACTTCTCAGATCTCAGTTCTGTGGCAGGGTGGCCAGACCGAAGTTCTAGTTAAGAGACAAACTGCAAACAATGAAAAACAATGCTGTTATGTCCACATAATCTGTATGTCCAGGTAATCTAGGTTTCCCAACCCTCTTCTATACTATGCCTGTGCCCCACCCCACAGCTGCAGCCTGGCACCCCTCCCCCTCCCTGTCACATGCCTGGGGCCTCAACTCAGGGAGCTGAGTTAAAGAGCTTTCTAGTGACAAGTCCTCAAAGGGCTCCATTAATTGCCTCAGCATTGTCTTTGACTAAACTGCTAGCTAGGCCTGAGAGGA